AAAATTGGTTAAGCATCTTGCCTTGCAGGGTCTTCTTTCAGATAAGCAATATGGCTTTTGCTTCTCTGGGTCAACTGCTGATGTTTTAAAATTTACTGGAAGAGTCTATTGAGCTTTAAATAAGAATGGGGAAGCTTGGGCTGTTGCTTTGGATATCTCAAAGGCATTTGACAGGGTTTTGAATACTTGTCTTCACAACTTGAAAAGTTATGGTATTTCTGAGCAAATTTTTGAACCGATTCAATCTTTCTTATCAAATCATGAGATGAAAGTTATTTTGAACAGCCACTCTTGATGTTTTTGCATTAATACAGGCATCACCCCAGGGGTCTATCCTTGGACCTACATTGTTCCTGATTTTCATCAATGACATTCCGGATGGTATCACTTCTTGACTCTACATCTATGCTAATGATACAACTATTTACTCCTGTCTTAATAGTAAGTTTCATCGATTCAATAAAGTTAAATTAGCAGGTGATCTAAAAAATGACTTACATTCTGTTGCTAATTGAAGCAAGGAATGATTTAATGCCTCCAAAATGAAACTGCTCTATTAATCATCTGAGAAAACCCTTTCTGCCATCCATCAACATGGCTAATGCTAACCTGAGTGACTTGATGGGCCTTCTTGGGCTAATGTTTTCCACTGTTATGAAGTGGAAAGATTATATCAAATCAATTCCTGGGTGTGCTCCTAGGAAAGTTGGTTCTCTATGTATTGCTAGACAATTTTCACTACCTGAATCTATCTTAAATCTTTACAAGTCTACCCTTCATCCATGCTTAGAATATTGCTGCCACATATTGTCTGGTGCTCTGTTATATATTTAGAGATCCTTGATAAAATTCAATGAAGAATCAGCAATGTTACTGGTCCTGACCTAGCATCTTGACTTCAGTCACTTTCTCACTGCCATAATGTTGCCTATGCCTTTTCTTTTAAATACTTTCATGGTAAATGTTCTGGCAAACTTTCCTTTATGTTACCTAGACTCTATGAATTTAAGTGTAATAATAGATTGGCAATCTGATTTCATCATTTTACACTTGAAATCATTAGATGTATCCATGAGTTCTGTAAAGTCCCCCCCACTCCATTTCTTCTGGTTTCTTGTGAATTTTGATCTTCAAAAATTAAAATCATTATCTTCTGTTTCCTTAATTCCTGTTCTTTTTTGTTCTCACTCCTTAATAATGCTTTTCTTTTTCTTATAGTCTTTCACACTACATTTTAGTGGCTTTATTGCTTTGCTTTGCTTGAGGTGAAATGGTTAAAAAAAGAAAAATCTTGGATTTCTACAGCACCATTGACTGTCACAAGTTTTTTTAAATTTCTATGATGCCACCTGTGGTTGCCCAGTGATTTCATCTGAAATTTAAAACTCTTTTTCTCTCTATTAAAAGAGGTGTTTGATCATCAGTTACTAGAAAATCAGTGGTATACTCATACTTTAAAGCACATTGATTTTTGTAAATTTGTTGGCTAGAAGTTCGATTTAGGATGCTTGTCAACTATTGCTTTTTGTACTGAATTGCTTGTGAAAGATAAAACAGTTTTATTTGTTTAGCTATGTTCAGATCCACCTTTTGTGTAAAGGATAAATCTTACATTTTCAATTAATCTTAATTAATATGTATTTTTGTGTGATTTTTTTTTTTTTTTTTTTTTATTTTGAGAATCCAGTTTTGGGGTTCTGACAAAAGAAAACCAGGGTTATTATTTTTTTATTTTTTCTTCTTTATTTATTGGGAATCTGTCTCAATTTCAACTCCCACCATGCATACAGCGTAAAGAAAGGGATCGTCCGCTGCTTACAACACTGAACAAAAGTCATAAGTGGTGACCCAGAGACATTACATAAAGAATTAGTCAGTATAAGTAGTACCCTACTTAAGGTAAGGCTTCAAGAACACCAGAAAGCTGTAACACGAGGGGAAGTAGAAAAATCGGGCATGGCTGACCACGTATGGAGAGAGAAGGGAGATCACCGCCCTCTGTGAGACCAGGTTGAGATCATAGACAAGGAACACCATTGGAAAATTCGTAAACTTAAGGAATCAGCACATATGCTAGGCCACAAAAATCTCCTGAGCTGACCAAGCATAGAAAAGAATACAATATGGGAACCAGTAATAAGGAGTACCAGAGAATAGCAATAATAACAACAAAAGTTGCAATATGAGCTCTGGTAAAAACATGGAATGATAACAGCAAAAAATTGCAATATGAACACTGGTAAAAATGGTTGCTGAAGACATTAAGTTTATAATACTCAGAAATTCATACACAGATGTCCTCAAGGATAGCACAGTGGATAAAGGCGTTGGTTACATCCAGTGACAGGACCCAAAGAGTGTGAATTCAATATCTGGTTAAGGCAGTGGAGAACTTTCAGAGGGAAATTAACAGGAGAAAACTGATAACTAATATCCATTAAACATGGCACGTGGAACTAGAACAGTCTACCCCGGTGAGCAAAATAAAGGGTTAAGTTCAACATTCCAAACACCTGAAGAAGGCCGGAGTGTACAACGGCCAAAACATTGTAATAAATATGGCAACAAAGATGAGGACAATAGTTTGAATAATGTAAATAATGTTATTGGGAATCTGTTTTACTCCTCTAGTAATTTAAACATTTTTTCTTTTTGTCTTTTGGGTAACATTTATATTGAATGCTGAAAACGGGTCAATGAATGCTGAATGTTTCCTGTAATTTGACCATTAGCATTGCCCATCAGGATGTCTTTGATGACATTTAAATTGACTATTATTTTTTTTAATACTTTCAAAATCTTTTCATTAAAGATGTCTCTTTTATTATATTTTATATCTTGAAATATATTTTATCAAATAGTTTTAACAAGTTTTGAACACAAACGTTTTTCTGACTGGATCAACTGTGGATGGTGAGAGACGTGTGTGTCTATGTATGCATATTTTAATACACAACCCAATAAGCAACCAAACAAAAGATTAAATAATGTCTCAGTTGTATTGCATTTTTTATTTTACAATTCAGAGGTGATTTTTGATAAATGGTGTTTCTGTTTGACAAAAACAAATTGATGATTTAAATTCTCCAAGGAGTCCTGCTTTTAACTAATATAAATACAAAGACCTTGGAATTTTAATTATTGAAAAAAAAAAAAAAAAAATAATATCAAAAGATTTTCTATATACAAAAAAAAAAAAAAAAAAGTAATTTAAAAAATAATTTAATTCATTTATGAATGTCTTGAAAATTTAATTAAAATCTGGCAGTTATTTGATTTTTGCAAGAATTTCAAAAACAATGTGTGTGTTCTAAATTTCTCATACTAATCTTTGGCCCAGCTGCTGACTAAAAAAGATGTTTTTTACCCAAATTTTGAACATGCTAGAAAGGATAAAAGAAAAAAAAATAAAATAATCAAAAAATACTTTGGTCTTTCCTCTTCATAATAACACAAACATTTTGACAAAGCTTTATTTTTATCAAGTCAGGGGCCTATTTTCATCATGGTTTACTTATTTTTTAGCAAATGTGTAGATGTGTGTGTGTGTGTGTGTGTGATATATAGTAGAGTTCATCAGCTATATTCCAAGAGTTTGGTGTAAATGTTCTAAGTTGTACTGTGTGAGAAGAAATGTGCTTATGATTCCGTGTTGTGACTGTCTTTTTAAGAGACAGGAACATGTTACTCTTATTGTCAATTAGAATAAAGTTGAAGCATCATTCTAAAGAAATCTAATTGTTGATGACATCTTGAGATAATGAAAGCTCTTTATATAAAACAATTCAAGCCATGTTTCAACCATACCCTATTTGACAATGGCAGCAACATGTTTGCTATGTATCAGTAATATTGAAGATTTATTGAGATTCTTATATCAAATTCACTGTTGGGTATACAATAAATTAAATTTATCTGTCTACTATTTGATCTGATACTGAACAAGTCAATGGAGTCATAAGGTGTTTTATTTTCTCTTTGGAATTGTTAGTCCATTAAGGAAAAGTAAAGCTGAAACTTATTTCAAATGTTCTGTGTTTTTTTTTTTTTTTTTTTTAACCCTTCATTTTACCTAACTCCATGAAATTTCCTTGGACCTTGTAACTTTTTTTTCTATATTTGTAAAAGCCTCATATCTCATTACAACAGTGTATGGTAATAGACCTTAAATGTGGTTTCTAGTTTTCATAAAACTAAAATTGTCATTCCTTACTCCCCAGTAACATTTACCAATTTTAACACACGATTGCACTTTTTCTAGCAAAAAAGTCCTGTGTTTTTGTTTGTAAACTGGATGAAGATATGCTCACACACTTCTGTTGCTGTGCAGTGGTTAATATACAGACTTTGCAAGGATTGAACACTCAATTCATTACAATGTGCTCTTTAATGTCAGCCAGGTCCAAGTCTGATAAATGTCACATTTCACTATTATATTATGGTGGTGCAAATTGGCATGGCAGTTCATCACAAAAATGAACTGACCCTGTGCTCATTTGGGAAGGGCATGAATCTTGGGCTCCACTAGGTCTACTTGCCCAAGACAAAGCTACACATGAATTAACACCTTGTCTGCTTTCAATTATGTGAAGGGAACTGTACAAGTGCTTATCTGTGCAGTGACCCTCTGACCACATCTAGACATGATAGTAATCAATAGTCCCATCAGTGAAATACTAAGTTGAAGAGTGGGATAGTCAGCACTTGGGCCAATCATTTTCCCACTGCTGGCTTATCCATCTAACTATGTATTATAGCAACAAATAACTATTTATGTATTATTTTCTCTTTCTTTAAAGTTTTGTGATAAATGGCGAATTGACTTTTGGGTGGTCTGAATGGCGGAATTCAACCAGACAGGATAAGTGGTTTTGGCAAAACTTATCAAGTAGGCGTTGGCTTCTTATAATACCCAGCAGGAGACCATCCGAATCCGATTTTATTATCTCTTGAAAACTGGGTTTATATGCATGTGTTTCGGGGACCTGAAAAAAGAAACATTAAGTGGTCAAATAAGCGATTTGCATATTAAAATTCGGGGCGGTGCCTAAAGATGGTTTAGCTCCGCCTCTCTCTATGTAAACTGCCCGCACGCTTGAGTGAGTTCGCAGTTCGGAGAGAACGCGGACAGAGAACGCGGACTGAGAGCGGAGAGATGCGGCGGAAAACGCTGGTCTGGTTTTGCTGGTCTTGTCCTGCGTCAAGAAGACCGATCCAAACCAAGAGATAGAAATAGACCCCATACGAATCCAGATAACTTCCTCAACAAATCTGTGAGAAAGCAGACTGCTATATCGTAGGGTGCAGACGAAGATCTACGAATTATATCCCTTAGATCAGCTGAATTCCTATCAGCATAATAATCGTCTTTCTTTCTCTCTCTGACTTTCCGACACAAACGAGTGAATCTCGTTACGACACGTTGTATTCGTGCAATTTCTTTGGTAGTGACCTAAAAGCATTAGACTTAAAAGGCTCTTGTACAGGAACCGAAAGAGTTGCATATGCTTTTTTTTCTTTTTCATGTTTTTGCGGCTACGACAAGAAACTTTTTTTTGCATGAATAGTGAGTTCCTTTCAGCGTAATACCCAGCCATTTAATTCATCCTACCTCCGGATCGTTTTAAGGGATCGAAATATTGCTGTTCGGTTCAAAAATTCACAACGTGGTGGATACTGGTGGTTCCTTCAGTTCACCGGGGAAGGACCGGGTGGTTTACTTTTCAGCTAGAACCACCGGAAAGACAGGATATAGCTGCAACAGGCAGGGTTTATTACGTTAGAATTGATGCCTTGTGCCATGATTCCGATCCGTGGATTTGCCAAGGACGCAGAGAGAGAGAAGAGCTCAATTCCTTGTACAAAAAAAATATAAAGGACTGAAAGCTAAGTACGACCAAAAAGACTGTAGTTACAAACTATCGGTCGGAAAGGCTCGGGAAAAGAAAAAGAAAAAAAAGAGAGAGAGAAGGAGAGAAAGAAGAGAGAACAAGAAAACGAAGAGCAGAGAAAGGTAAGTCACTTTTTTGGCCCTCGGTTCGCTTGTCGCACGCAAGTCTGCCAGTGTACAGTTGTTGTGTTCGATTTCTTCAACATTGCATGCTGTTGAAGTGTCGATAGTGTGTGAGGCGTTTTCCTTTTCTGATGTCTCTTATTGAATAGGGGGAAGGTAGTAGTGATCGGGCTTTAGAATGAGTGTAGCAGGTTCAGATATCACAGACGACCAGGGAGAAGCGGGAGTTCCCGAAATTACAATGGTGTTCCGCAGACTGATCGGAGGCATGAGACTGCCCTCGTTTAGGGGCGACCCAACAGAGCTGCAGGAATAGATACTGTCGATCCAAAAGAAACATGTCGTGTATGGCTTGTCGGACCAGGAGATGGTCCTTCTGGCATACGAAGCAGCGGCCGGTCCAGTGTCCAAATATGTTGGAGGGCTATATAGGGAAAACCCTACCCTAACTCGGACAGAGCTGAAGTCTGCCCTGGTCCGACAGTACGCCAGTGAGCGCACGGCCATTGAGGCAGTTAGGAAGTTGTTCACACTCCGGCAGGGAGATAAGGAAGCCATGGAGGATCTTGGAGAAAGAATATCGGGCTTAGCGGCACTGGCTTTCCCGGAGCTGGCGACCCGAAACAGTGGTCCGATACAGGCCCTGTTAGCCGACGTATATATGGATGAGCGATAGGGAGCTGCGGGGTGACGTCCTGAAGGAAGGACTGAGCACCTTGGCCGCGGCCATTGAAGCGGCTCGCAACAGTGAACGACTTTGGGACAGAATAAGGAACAGTGTAGCCAGGGACTCCAGGGGGTCCAAGATAATGAAAAGGAAGGAGCAGGTTCGGGCACGGGACCCAGAAGAAGAAGTAGAGGAAAATTGGAAATTGGAGGTAGATCCGAATAAACGAGAATGGAACTTGCGGTATGGATTCTATAAATCCACGCCAGGTCGGTATGGGCTAGTGTGCTGGACGTGTAAATACGCTGGGCACAGGGCTCGGGACTGTCCAACCAATTGGGGAGGAGACCCCAGGTCGCTGGGACCCAATTGTACGACCTGTGGTGAATACGGGCACAAAGCTCGGTGGTGTACGGCGGCAGGGGACCGTAAATTAGGCATTAAACGAACTAACGCGCTGTTATCACCCACCAAGAAAGCAAAGAGCCCGGGAAACGCCGCTGGGTCACCCGTGAAGGAGTAGGAGGCAGGGTGGCCCCAGTCCGAGCAAGACCTCTGAGATGTTGGACGTGTGGAATAGTTGGTCATTTTTCGGTCGATTGTCAGCGGAGAAGATGCTGGCATTGTGGGGGCGCAGGCCACGTGAGACGAACCTGCCCCCACAGGGGAAGGAATCCCCTAAGACGAACCGGCCGGAATAGAAATGAACTGGAGGGACAGAGGGTTAGAGCGGAAAGGCGCTATCATCCAAACCCCATCCCAGCCAGAGAGGCCCCCAGACGAGAAATGGGACCTCGAAGAAATAAGGAACCCCCGTTGCTGGCCCCCGCCTCTCGGTGGTCCAGAAGGGAGACGAATAGGAAAGATGGAAGGGAGGCCCGAGTGTACCATTTGCTGAAGGAGGGGCCGGATCTCACCTGCAATGTCTTGCTGGGAGGCAGGAAGGTTAGGGCCCTGGTAGATACTGGAGCATCAGTATCACTGGTTAGTTCGAGGACCTACAGACAGTTGGGGAAGGTTGAGGCCAGTAGATTTATCCATAAGCCAGGCCGATAGCAATAGGATGAGGATAGAGGGCATGACATGGCTGCCGTTTCAATTAGCAAGGACTAGAAAGTGTATGTGGCACCTGACTTGGGGGCGTGTTGATTCTGGGGAGTGACTGGCTTAAACAGCACAAGGCCCAGATCCGTTTCGACCCAGCCACCCTGACCTTGGACGGGGTAGAGATACCGCTAGGACAAGACAATTATGAGCAGCTACCTGTAGTAGCCCAGGCAGATATAAAGTTGCCCCCTAGAACCACTGTATCTGGGGAATGCGAAATTATAGTAGAATGACAGGTTGTATCAGGTAACCCTTACGGATGGGTAAGATAATAATGAGGGAGAAGTGACAGTATGTAGTTCATTAGTGAAAAGATCAAGGACCGTTCCCCTGCTTCTGACTAATTCGGCTAATAAAACCGTCAGAATAAAGCGAGAAGAGTTAGCACGGGCTTGCCCCGTAAGGGAAGTCGAACAGGTGAGGATAAGAAACGAAGATAGGTCTCGGAACAAGACAGGGATCAGCGAATTAAGGGACGAGGAGATAACAGTCCCTGAATGTTATAGAAGAGAATTAAGGGGTTTGCTAAGTAGAAACCGGGAGGTAATAGCAATGACAGATAAAGAGCTAGGACAGACAGAGATAGTGGAGATGAGGATAGACAACGGTGACCACCCACCTATCAAGTTAAGGCCATATAGAACCCCAATCCACAAAAGGAAATTAGTAGAGGAGGCAGTGAATGAGATGATGAACTCGGGGATAATTGAGAGATCCAAATCTCCCTGGAGCTTCCCTATCGTGATAGTTGAAAAGAAAGATAGAGGGCACAGGTTTTGTGTGGATTTTCGCCAGCTGAACGCGATCACAAAACCGCTAGCACTGCCTCTCCCCTTGATTAATGACATTTTGGCTCTCCTAGGGAAATCTAAGTGTTTTTCTACTTTGGATTTGAGATCGGGTTATTGGCAGGTGGCCCTGAACAAGGAGGACCAAGAAAAGACCGCGTTCACCTGTCACATGGGTCTTTTCAATTTTAGGGTTATACCGTTTGGGTTGGCAAATGCCCCGGGTGTGTTTAGTCAGCTAATGTCCATAGTGTTGAATGGCATGGAGACGTTCGCCATGGCATATCTAGACGATATCATGGTATTTTCAAAATCACCTGAGGAGCATTTTGAACACCTGCAGCGGGTGTTCGACCGCCTAAGGAGGCATGGCTTGAAGCTGTCAAAATGTCAGTTTTTAAGAGAGGAGACAAAATACCTAGGGTTCGTGATAAATAAGGACGGGATAAAGACTGACCTAGATAAGGTAGAGATAATAAGGGCCATGCCCGCGCCGAAAACTGTAAAGGGAAATTAGGGGTTTTATAGGAGCCATGGGATATTATAGGAGGTTCATACCCGCATTTAGTCGGTTGGCGGGTCCTCTGATAGCCCTGACGAAGAAATACGCCAGGTTTAGGTGGACGGAGGATTGCCAGCGTGCATTTGAGGCTTTAAAGGACCAGCTAACTGCTGTGCCCTTGTTAGTGTACCCAGACTTAGGTAAGCCCATGGTGCTGTACACTGATGCTAGTGATAGGTGCATCGGAGCAGTACTCACGCAACCCTGTCCCGATAAGGATGGTCCCGTGCCTGGGGTGCTTGAAGAGGTTCCAATCTATTTCCTTTCTCATCGGCTTTCCGAAACCCAACAAAGATGGCCGATGATCGAGAAGGAGGCGTTCGCCATCCTGTACGCTGTGCAGAAGTTGGATTATTATTTGAGCGGGGCAGTATTCACCATTAAGACAGACCACCAGCCCCTCAAATACCTGCAAGAGGCAGAATGGACGAACAAAAAGATCCAACAATGGGTGCTGAAGCTAAGTGGGTACAACTGTAAAATAGAGTACCTAGCCAGGAGGGATAACACCTGTACTGATTTGCTATCGAGGATACCGACACAGTTGGAAACGGAGTCCATCAAGTTAGAGCCAGGTGTGGACGATAAGGCCTTCCAGATCAATGTAAGGGTTGGAAGGGCGACCTAATTGGAAAGACCAAGAGGCGGGTGAAACAGAGACCATTACAGACCTCCACTGGATAGATATTGTTAGGCAAAGTCAAGGGGATAGTGACATAACAGCCATTAGGTCCAGGGTAAAGGCAGGAAATACCTCCAAATATGTATTGCAGGGTGATGTGTTGTATTACCTTTCAGGGAAAGATGAGGAGGTAAGCTTGAAGATGGTGATACCCGAAAAGTTGAGGTCTGAGATCTTAGATCAGTGCCATAGAAAGTTAGGACACATGGGGATTGACAAGACGTATGGGTTGATAATGAGGAATTACTATTGGCCCAAGTTGTTTAATGATGTTGTGGATTATGTAAAGAAATGTGTAACGTGCCAAGTGCAGGGTAGAGGAAGTAAGGCTGCACCGGTTTTAGAGACAGATATTCCCCACTACCCATTTCAGAAAATGAGTTTAGACATTTCAGGCCCTTATGGGCCAACTGATAGAGGGAATTGTTACATATTAAGTTTTGTGGATTGGCTGACAAGTTGGCCTGAAGCATTCGCCATACCTGATAAAAAGGCGCGAGTGGTGTCAGAGATAATACTTGGAGAGATATTTCCCAGGTATGGGGCTCCCGAACCGTTGGTTACGGATAACGGTTCAGAAAATGTGAATGAGGGAGACGTTGGGAGAACTAAATATTCAACACATAACCACCTCCCCAGAGTAACGGTAAGGTGGAGAGATTCCACAAGACTCTTGCTGATGTGCTGGCTAAATTAGCAGAACATAATAGGGAGAATTGGGATCTGTTTTTAAACCAAGCCTTAGCAGCTGTGAGATTCTCGGTGAACGAAACGACCAAGTTTTCCCCTTACTATTTGGTATATGGCCGGGACGTGGTCTTACCCATAGACAACCTATTAAGGCCGAGAAGGAAATACTTAGGGAAGGACCATCAGAGGATAATTTTAGAGCAGCAGCGCAAAATCTTTACACAGTTGAGGAGAAGAATTCGAAGAGCTCAGAAAAAGCGAAATGATAGGATAAATAAGAATAGAGAAGAGGTTTCCTTCCAAATAGGTGACCCGGTGTATTATAAAATACACCTGAGAGACGGTAAACTGGACCAGAGGTGGAGCCCCTACTATAGAATAGTAGAACAGACAGGACCAGTGTCCTTTGTGATATGGGATCAACTGACCGGGAAAGTGAAAAGAGTACATGCGAATGACATAAAGTTAGGTGAGATAGAAGCCTGGGAAGGGAGCGGCATAAAGATGAAACAGAAAAAAACTCGAGGAGGACCACACTGGTGGAACCAGAACTACTATGAAGTGATAGTGAAGCTAGCGAGGAGGTCGAAATTAGTCCCACTACCCTTCAAAGGCTGAGGGAGATAACTCGATCCCCGGTTGGACACCCTGAGGAAGAGAATATTAAACCTAGTGATAGAAGAAGACGGATCGAGCGATTGGGATCCTGACGACGAGATTCCGTTAGTTCAATTACGTAATCAATGGCAGACTGAACAAGCGCCTGATAATGAGGACGAGCTGCCAACGAAGCTGCGATTGCGAGGAGCAACGCCTTTCGAGTCGGCCGATTAAATAGAAAATCTGTGCAGAGGTTGTGTTGAACGAGTGACAGTTTGGGGTCGATTGTGCAGTTGTCGTCGGCGTTACGCAGGCCGCGTAGAAGGGCCCCTGCGCGGACTCGGCGCTAGCGGTGGTGTGAGTTGGTCCTGGATGTGTCACTCCACAATGCAGCCGTCTGACGAAAAAAAAAAAAAAAAAAAAAAAATAAATAAATAAATAATTATATTATAAGATAGACTGTTCTCTCCGTCTCTTTCAGACATGGACGAGAGAAGGCCCTGGGTGCTGGTGATGTTGATTTGGGCTGCTAATGCCTGGGAGCACAGTGAAAATACCGTGTTTAAGAAGACGAGCGAGGTGATCATAACTAGATCAAAGTGGTTAATCACGTTAGTGATAGATTTACAGCCGTATGAATTGCTACTAGCCCAGTTTCGAGGTAGATAAGTTAGAGACAGCCAGGACACAAGTCGCCGGAGAGTATTCACAAGGTCTAAACTACCACCGGGTGTTGTACTCCTTAACTCAGGAGTCCCTAATACTTGAGAGGCAATGGAAGGAGATGAGCGATTATTTAAAGGGAATTAAGTTGTTGAGAACTAGACAAAAGAGGGCAGTGTTACCTATAATAGGTAAGGCATTAGGTGTGTTATTTGGCACGGTGTCTGAAGATGAGATAAGGTTGATCAAGAGGAAGCTGACGCAGGTAGAGCAGCGACAGCAATTGATGGCCCAGGTAGTTAAGGAAAGCGTATCGATACTTAATGTTACTAGGTTGGAGGTGGCTAAGAACAGAGAGAGTATTGGTTAATTGCCTACCTACATGATCTTAGGCAACAGTTGGAGAATGTAACCACAACTATAACAACTGAGTACCAGGAACTGGAGGGTTTCTTGCTAAAGCATCTCCAGTTGTTAGCTATAGTGAATAGGGTGCGCCAAACCAGTCATACGTTAACAGTGCTGCTAGAACATGTGAGAGCCCAGTTGGATATGCTGTCTATAGGACACCTATCCCCGAGTATAATAACCCCAGAACCACTAAGGGCGGTACTGCTGGAAATACAGTCCAAACTCACCCATCATCTTGGTTTCCCGGCGGACCCCACTCAACAATTATGGAAGTATTATAGTGCCTTGGGATGTGTTACCCTGTTAGAAAGAAATAAATTGCTAGTACTAGTGTCAGTACCCTTATTAAACTGAGACAGCACTTTTGAAGTTTACCAGGTATTAAATCTGCCTCTTCCTTACCCAAAACCAACCCCAAGGTTAGAGGCAGTGGCTAGGTACAAAGTAGAGACAGAATTCCTCACTCTAAACATAGCCAGGACAAAATTTATGTTACTGACAAGGGAAGAAGCACAGAGGTGCGAGAATAATGCTCTGGGCACTTGCGCGTCTGCAAGTCCCATTTATGTAACAGGTAGCCATGAATTGTGTGTGATAGACTTATTTAGAAAAAATAAGAAAGGAATCAGAGACCATTGCCAGGTAGAGATACTGATGATGTAATGCTACCCGCAGCTGTTAGCATTGCAGACGGGATCTGGGCAGTGGCCACTCAGGGTGAAATGGAGCTCTCTAAGGTCTGCGAGAATGAGGTGACAACGACAATGAGAGTTATTCCCCCCTTGACCATTTTAGCCTTACCCCTTGGCTGTGGTGCACACGGGCTGACCCTATCCTTACCCACCTACTATCAAGCAGAAGAGAGATTCAAAGGGAATGAGGCGTTGTTGAAATTGGTAGGATCAAATGAAACTGGATGGGCTGAATTATGGGATCCAATTACGAAAGAGTTCCCTCAGTTTTCGTTAAGGAAAATGCCGGGGTTACTGAAACCTGTTGATAAGATTGATTTCGGGCGACTGAAGTTAGAATTAACTAGGCTAAGTAGGCAAGACTCGGACTGGAGAGAGAAAATGGTTACCATAGTAACCTGGCCAACTGTTGTGGGGATTATATTAATTATAGGTATGGCTTCTTTGAGTTGGTGGTGGTGGAAAAAGAGACAAGTGAGAATGTCGAGTGTGGAAGTTGAACTGGCAGAAAGTGGAAGTGCAGGAGCGTGCTGAGAACCCAATTGGTGCGCCTTACCAAGATCAGCTCGACCAAGACCATTAGAACCTGCAGCCGATGTGGAAGAACAGCCCACAGTTGCTGTGAGAGAATTGGAACCCGTAAAAAGTCTAACGAGGCCTGTTGTGAAGACCCGGACCAGTCGTAAGACAAAATTGTGAAAAAAAAAAAAAAATAAAAATAAAGGGAATAACTATTTAAAATATGTAGTTGAAAAAAAAAAAAAGTGTTTAATTTTGAAAAAAAAAAAGTGTTTCATTTTGAAAAAAAATGAGTGTTTAATTTTGGAAAAAAAATGTGTGATTAATAAAAAAAAAAATGAGTTTTGATTTTGAAAAAAAAAAAGATGAGTGTTCAATTATAAAAAAAGAAAAAGAAAGAAATCTGTGTAGATACAATACATATGTAGACGAATGAAGAGACAAATGAGTTGGTGAGGATATGGGAGTATCCCAAGTAGTGAACTGGATGGAAATACCAATTGTTGTGAGATCAATGAAAACATATATTCTCATAGTAACCAAATTTTTTTTTTTTTTTTGCATGTGAAAATCTGAACAATGAACCTTATTCAGTGAAAGCACGACAATGTGCTTTATAAAGACGCTCTGAAAGGAAACGGAAAAAGACTCGGAACGCTATATCTCGACTTCGTATTTTCTTGTCTGTTCTTGTTCATGTTTTTATTTCTAGAATTTTTCGCAGTTGAAGTCAGACCGGATTGCCGGAGGACCATGAACTTCCAGCAAGGACAGCTGAACGACCATGCTTCTATTATCGTCTTATTTTTGGTATGATATCTCATGTGTCATTTACTAGTAAATGACAGGTGGGTAAGGGAGGAATTGTGACATAGAGAGAAAGACCCTCACCCCACCCCGAGGTGGATTTAGTAATCAACAGTGCTAAAGAATTAGGATGAAGGTGCTAATTACTTGGGTAGAAGGAATTCCGGAGTAATTCCAGAAATAAGTTTTTTTTTTTTTTTGTTTTTTTTCTCTTAATAATTGTTTCTGGGGTTGAGTTATTAGTTAATTAAATGTAATAATTCCAGAGTGATTAAGAGACGGATTCGTTAAAGTAAAGTTTGTGATAAATGGCGAATTGGACTTTTGGGTGGTCTGAATGGCGGAATTCAACCAGACGGGATAAGTGGTTTTGGCAAAATTTAAGTATACGTTGTCTGCGGAAGACCCAGCAGGAGGTCCGAATCCGATTTTAGTATCTCTTGAAAACTGGGTTCCCGCTGAGTTTCGGGGACCGGAAAAGCTTGCATGGTGGTCAAAGGCGATTTGCATATTAAAATTCGGGGGCGGTGCCTAAAGATGGTTTAGCTCCGCCTCTCTCTATATAAGCTGCCCGCACGCTTGAGTTAGTCGGATCGCAAATCGGAAAAGAACGCGGACAGAGAACGCGGACAGAGAGCGGAGAGATGCGTTCGGAAAACGGCTTGCTGAATTTTGCTGGTCTGGTCTGTTGGTTGTCCTGCGTCAAGAAGACCGATCCGAACCAAGAGATAGAAATAGAACCCATACGAATCCAGATAACTTCGTCAACAAAGCTGTGAGAAAAATTAGCAGACTGCTATATCGTAGGGTGCAGACGAAGATCCACGAATTATCTCCCAACTTATAGACATTCTGAGATCGGCTGAATTCTTATCAGCATAATAATCGTTTTTCTCTCTCTGTGGCATTTCTTTCCGACCCAAACGAGTGAATCTCGTTCAGACGTTCAGACATTTTTGTATTCGTGCAATTTCTTTGGTAGTGACCTAAAACAGTAGCCTTAAAAGGCTCTTGTACAGGAACCGAAAGAGTTCAAGTTATTTCATTTGTTTTTTTTTTTTTGTATTTCTTTCCTTGTTATTTTTTGCGGCTACGACAATGAAATTTTTTTTTTTTTGTCCTGAATGAGTAGAGTTCCTTTCAGCGTAAAATACCCAGCCATTTAATTCATCCTAACCTCCTTTTTTAGCTATGATACTCTGGAATTGTTTTTCAGCTTATAAGTGGGAATCCAGTCATTTTCTGAAATTGGCATTTTTTCGGTTTGCTTGTATGATGCCATGATTGTGTGAAAATTGTTTTGCACAACTGTCAAAAAAATATTTGTCGCTCTGGGGAATAGAAAATTTTAGTTATTATATCAATGGGTGTTCAATATATGTTGAAGTAAAAGTCTCATTAGTAACATAATTAAAGGTTTGCCATAAAGAATAACGTGAGCATTAAAGAAGGCGGTTCTGGAGGAAACAGAGACCTTGCGTCTATGGAATCGGTAATTACTGCCAGGCTAATTTTCTAATTATCTGCTTGTTCGCACTTGTTTTTTTTTCTTATTCTTTGTTTGCAGTTAAGAGGACACCTGCAGAATTGTACGTAAGTCAAAAAGATCTCTCTTACTGTGGGCCAAGTCTCTTCATGACGTTGGTAATCCTAGCTCTCTACTACTTCCTGTCTTTTGTTCTCTCGGTGATGCTTGTTTCTTTATAACTTCTTTGTCTTTGGTACTTGTTAATCCATTCATTTGCATAAAATTGTCAATTAGGTTTCTTGCTATTTTCCTCTGTTTATTTCACTGTGCCCTGTGAGCGTTAATTTTCCAAATCTTCTTTCCTCGCAAAAATCCCCAAAGTCCAAGCTAACATTTATTGCAATCCGCAATTTCTTTATAGTGCCTATTTGTAAAATTTAATTTCCACAAATCTGTTCATGGTCTTCTAAAAAAAAAAGAAAAAAAGTCAATAAATCTCCATCCGTTGTTTCAAGTCTTTACCTTATCTGTATCAAGTGTCTAGCATTCCGTACGATAAACGAGTTAAGATATGACATAGAAGTTCAGCAGTTTTTACTTTGTTTCTAAAGACATTTTTCCCTTAACAAATTTGATCAGTTTCTGAAAAGCATGCTTTACTATTTTGATGTAACTTTATTGAAGTTCTGAAAGTAAGACTCACAAAACAGCTCAAGAAAGTAGCATATATCCGTCTGTTACAAGTCCCTTCAGGATATTGACGATCATGGCTCTCCATAGATGTCTTTTGTTGCTTTCAGCAATACTTACTCATTTATAAGCCTTTTTGTCTTTTATACTTGTTCCTCCGTCCATTTGCACGAACTTGTCAAAGAAGTTTATTGCTGCTTTCCTCTGCAGAGTAAAAAGAACACCCTGATCGCAAGCAGCGGGCCAAGAATTGAAACTGATCGGGTGGAGAACCTGCTGATAGATTCGTCAAAAGTGCCGATCCGTACAAAAAAATACTCCAGTTATTTTTTATGGG